AGAGTCTTGATTTCGTGGGATTCACTGCTTTACGGAAGAATGGAGGTGTCTGATACAGGCGTTAGTAAGACTGGAAGGGAATAAAGGAGTGCTTATAGAGAGCTGTTGGGTTTTTGATTACCTGAGTTTCGTTCAATTAATATGGGATTGTAATTTATATACTTCGTTTCCTTGACGTTTCTTATTGTCTAGTATCGTTAGAGATTGACTGTGAGTATTCTACTATTAATCTATCTTTCAGATTTCTTGCTTCGTAAGGTAAGGTGAGTGATCACAAGAAGGAAGTTGTTACTGAGGTAGCATAAGTCTTTGGTTCCTTTAAAAATGATCTACAACAAAAGCCCTAATTCTATTACTGTTCACGATGGGCCAAAGGTGACCCTAAATTCACAGAACGAAAGTTACCATATGTCCACGGACAAAAAAAAAGAAGATCGTTCCCATTTACACGAATCAGATCTACTAATCAGTGCGAACAATTTTCAACGAATTTCGGTGCTAACTCCATCGTACACATCACACGTTGAACATTGTTTTGCCGAAGGCGTCGCGTTTTACATTTCCCGGATAAACTTCTCCCTTCGTTCAGTGGATTCTGGCAAAACTACGAAAATCCTGGCAACATCCAGCTCTGCCAGGATCCCTTTGGAGGCTGAGCCCAACGCGTTGAAATACGTATCCGCGAGTTCGACTGAGCTATTAAGCCGCAAACGTACGCGCGTGGGATCCAGACCGGGCTGCGTGAAACTCGGTGAGAACGGCGAAAATCAATGGGGAATGCGTGTCAGAGGGGATCAGGGTTGCGGGTATCCGACTGCCCAGTAGGGACGATATCACCGGGATCTCGGATGTTTCGGTGTATATCGGAAATTTCACGGATGCGCGCCGACGTGGCCTATGAACTGCTCGCGTCCGCTCCTCGATCCGAAGAACACGAGCCTTGCCATGAGGGGGTGAAATCGATAAATTATGCGGAAAAGAGAACGGGACGGCAAGGAAATTGACTGATAATTGGCCTATTCGTTACGGATGGGTTATTGTTTCGCCGTGCTTCAGTTCCCTCTCTCTGGACTTTAATAGTCGTGATTTCATCCGCTTTTGATTTAGGGGAAGGGGGGAGGATAAGTTCCTGCATATCCTGGCGTGTTGGAAGAATTTTTTGGCCAATAGGTTCACGAGGTGGAGTTCATTCTTTAATTTTTATGTACTTTTCGGGTGGATTTGACCGAAACACAAACTTATTCTTCGGTTATACTATTTTGTTAAGGTATACCTGAATTAATTCAATATCGACAGATGGAAACAGTACAGTCAATTAGGTTGTACCAGTTGCTGATATTTGAACAGTTGATGATCAACCACGATCGGGGTCGTCGACGGGCGATGGGTCGTTGACGGGTTCTCGAGGGTCGATGGCTTTTGGAATTTGATGTGAAATTCAATTGAGTCTAATTCATGAAATATGTACATGTTGCAATTATCTGCACCGTACATGATGGTCAACTTATACACTCTGACATGAAAAATTGGTATTAGTGGAGAATCTTTAATGGTCAATTAGGTGACTGTTTTTATGTTTTTTTTGCTTGCTTTCATAAGTCGTGTTTTGAAAGGATAGTTATGGGATTCCTCTGATTGATTGTAATTAAGCTTTTGGATATCCAGTTTAGGTTGATCTATGATTACACGTTAATCGAAGAACAGCTTGTAGATGGAATGTATAGTCTTCCACAGAAGAATTTTGCGAAACGTTCAAAAATGTGTTGCCACGATGTCCATAAAACTGCGACGAGGAATGGAGCCAATTGTAATGTTCCGAATTTATGATAACTGTGTTCATCGCATCCCTCATCGCGCGATCGGTGCGTATATATCATTGACTGCCCCGATGCTCGTCTATGGATTGGAAATTTACGAGTGTGTTTCGGTGAACGAGCCACGGCATTCACGGGAACGGCGTTTCCAGGGAAGGAAGAATCAGAGGGAGAATGATAAATTATGTAGAAAGCGAATTGGATGTCGAGTCGGGAAAATTGCTCTGCGATAAGTGTCTTTGGAGTACGGATGGTTGAATACTCGTTTCCTCGCTGGCTCGTGTTCGATGTACAACTTGAAATTTTCATTCCTTAAATCTGCCTGCTTGATTCGTGCAATTGTTTCGATCAATGTGTCATTCAGTATTAAATAACCAAATTGTACCATTTAACTTACTGTTACGTTCACTGTATGTGTAACAGATTGGTCGAAATCGTGTCAACCAGTGGAATACTTTCTTATAAGAGACCGTGCTAAATATTTCATAATTCAGCGAATTCGACTCTTTTCCCTTAACAAAAATTTCGAATATTCTTAAAATATAAATAAACATGTATACAAAAAGCCGATACCAATTGTTCTTTAGGTGACGTTGTAAAAAAATCCCCAAAAGACCTTGTAAAATGACATTGTAGACTAGAACACCTCCTTATCGCTATTGAAACTCTTATTTCACGATACCCTGCTTGCTCTCATACCCGATGCAGTATAACCGAACCCAGAAATTTCGATTACCTCAAAAAACACGGTGTTTATTAACATTTGGGTGAATTCTTCACTGAAGAATCGCGTGTGTATACAAAAAATTTAATTCCATTTTGGACGTATGTACATTTCGTTCATATCGAATCGCGTTCTGCACCAGACTGTAACGCGATTTCAGCCGGTAAAACGGGAAATTCCGGCGCGCGGCGATCAAAATTAAACATAACCTTTTTTCTTTTGTTCCCACCCCTGAAGAACGCAAACGAGTGGGGGGAGGGAATTGTGGGTCGATTGCAAATGGAAAAATCACTGAGGATCCTGGGTAGATCGGATAAAACGGAAGTTCCTCCGCAGGTCGAATTAATGAAAAATTTTTTTCCGGCGTTGTCCGTGCCCGCATAAAATTCCCGCGCCGTCGGTTCCGTTCGTATTCACCGGTTTCATTCTCTTCGGCTTTTTCGTTCTGCTCCGACATGTTACTGACAACGGGGTTCCGCGGTCTTCTCGCTCACAAACGTCCCGAGAATTCAGCGCTCACCTACACTGTGTACGCCCGTTTATACGTGTGTTCGTTGCCCGCGCGTGAAAACGCGCCCTCGAGCTCTCCAGCTTCGAAAAAACGCGTTCCGTTTTGCCTTTTATTTCCGTTGGTTTTATCCCACGCTGTCTTAGTTATTCTTCGGTATCGTCAAGTCTGCTGTTACGTCGCACCTCCTTCCAATTTTTTTCTACCGGCCGCTGTCGTGTGAATTGCGTTTTCTCGCGCGAAGCTCTCTGAATAAAGTGTTTTCATCCCTCTCACCCCTATGTTATTCAGAGATTTTAATGGCTTCTGGAAATTGTGAACTGAGAATGTTTATCGGAAGTCGTGTTTCTATGGGGCGATTTATAAGAACAGGAATTAGATAGAAATTTGTTGATTCGAGAAATTGTGTACACTAAAATTAACGCTCTAATGTTTTACTTTATATTCATAGTCTAATTTTTCCGAAGGAAATATGTAGCATAGACATGTGTTGTAGTGATTTAACGTGCGAAATAAGGGAAATAATTGGATGCTTATGGTTCATTGAAACATTCGACTCGAGGTTTAGTAAACTAAGGTCTATATCCTATGTATTTTGTAATAGGTATGTAGTACTTTAGAATCCATTAGTCTACCGTTATGAATCGACCATATCATCGTGTTTGCTAAACACAGGCGTGCACCTTACGTCTGTTCCGCAAATGTCGAGAAATCAAGGATGTAATGCTCTCTACAAACACATTACAAAGCATCATCGTTCAGTTGTCCGAATACTGTACCATCTAACTCGTTCCTACAATCAAGGTTTCACCGTATCACGAAAGACATTAACACAAGCTACCCCAGTGACTAACGTCGAAGTACACATGCAATACACAACGCGAGAGACAAACAGTTCCGAGTCAAGACAAACGTGTACGGTTATCCAACAGCCTGTACGAGTGTTGATTTCACACCGTGCTCAGTTGCAACCGTATTCTCTGCTAAATAATGTAGCATCAAGTTCCCCGAATACGTACCTGCTCGTCGAAATACGAGACTACCCGCCAGTATCCCCTCCCCCTGCCCCGGAGCAATCGCGGTGTTAAAACAGCCACTTACGACGCTGGCACTTCATCAAAGTGTGACTCGAAGGGGATTCGAAACGACCCGGGGATGGATATTCCCATCCCCCTTTCACCCCACGGAAGCCTAGCTACCCGTTCCACGACCGTTTGGCCCCGTTGTCTCATTATCCCCTGCCCTCCTTTCCGTCCGTTCGACGACGATGACAGGTCGAACGTCGTCGACTTCTAATCCGTCAGAAGCCGGTCGTTACCGTGTCAACGTCAGAAACCGGAGACCGTCGCTCCTTAGCTATAACGGCTAGGGATATACAGAATGTCCCAAAATGATGGGACGAGCCTCAACATGAATATTCCTCGTGCAAATACAAATCAAAAAGTACTTTACCGTTTTGTAATCTGAAGCTCCATTTCCGAGATATTAACAGTTTAACGAACTCTAATCAGCTGATCGGCCGGCCACACATACGCGCAGACACGGTGAAGAAGCGCGTGACACAGTTCACTGGCATCTGCTTCTTCACTGTAACTGCGCATACGTGTGGCGAGCTGTTCAGCTGATTGCAATTCATTGCACTGCTAATATCTCGGAAACGGAGCTTCAGATTACAAAACGGTAAAGGACTTTTCGATCAGTATTTGCATGGGGAATATGTATGTTGCGGCTTATCCTATCATTTTTTGACACCCTGTATGTATATATACGTATATACACTCAAGCCGGCCGCGAAGGTTGTGCGTGCCGCATTTTAATGAACCCTCACTCACCGGTCCCCATCTTGTTTTCCAGGGTTGGTGTGAGCCCCCACGGCCGTAGGGAGTCACCGGCTCCCTAGGGGGGGCGCAGGCGGCGAAGGCGGTGGCGGCGGCGCTGGCGAAAGGGGGAGAAACGGTGGGGCGAACCGGAACCGGAAATGGCTGCGAGGTGGCTCCTGCTGGCGCTCCTCGCCGCCTACGCCGCGGCTCTTCCTGATATCATTAGGATAGGTGAGTATCTTTCCAGTGGTGTCCCTCCCCCTCATCTTCTCTACGGCTTGAAAGCCTTTTTCATCCCCCGTTTCTCCATTTTTCTTTCAACCCTCTCCTTCTATCTCAGCCGTAAACGGCGTTTTGTTTTCTTTCCACCTGGTGCTTTGATAGCGTCGGATGACGGTCCAACAATGAAATTGTAAACGATACGTCTTCCGCCGGGCGAAAGTCGACGGGATTTCCAAGCGTAGCCGGTAATGGTTTTTCGGGTAACGATTATACCGGGGTGAAATTACAGCGACGCTACCCGCGGATCCCTGCGAATACGGCGCGGATCGGTAAGCAGAGATAATGGGACGGTGTTATGGAAATGGAATTAAGTTGATGAGGGTTCATTGAATATTAGTGGAATTGTGATTTTCATGCGAGCTAAGGGAGTTTCTTGCTTGGATTTTCCGCCGTTTCTGGTTACTTGTTTCATCCTGGATTATTGGACTATCGTAAATATTACGATCGCGAATTCGCGATTCTCAGAAATCGGCCAATGTTGTGAACGTGTGTGCAGGTTATACTGAATAATTATTGTCTCAATTTTCCATGACTTTCAGTTTGGTTATCAGGTTTCTATCTCACTCAAAATTAATATTTTCCTGAAATATTGCGTGGCTTCTTTTGAGGGATAATTGGGTGTGTAGTCATAATTAGTTAATTTAAGAAGATGCGTTAGTTCATTGTTATATCTCCAGATAACTTTTAATTTCATCTAATTTCTCCATCTAAGAAATTCTCTTATGAAATTCTATCATAATGCTGGAGATCCAGGATATGTTTCGTCATTGTTATTTAATTTTTCTCGTGTTCACTCGGATGTTCACGAATAAGAAATTATCCAGCTGCAGAGTTAAAGACCTGTGCAGACGGAACTTCTGATCCCACCATGGCTCAACGTTAACGTTCCTCATACTGGCCCCTGTATTTGCATAGTCTCCGCGCAAGTAGTAATAGTCGCGCATAGTCAGACAAGTGGGATCGCGAAACAAGACGCGGCCGTTCTTGGAATGTCGAGTATGCAGATAACGATGCACGCGTGAGCATTCTGTCAACACGGTACGTCATGGACGGATTCCGAGTAAATAATGGCTTCTATTTGCAGTTTAACGCCGCAGTCCGGCAACAATGTAACCGCGTAGCGAACAAGCATCTCTGCGATTTCCGTGTCTGTGAATGGACGTTTCAACAAAGAAAGTCTCTTGAACAATTTACTTTTCCACTCGACGTTGTCGAAAATTACTTTTAACCAACAGTAATAACAGACCGATCGAATGAATGAGACTTTTCAAGAAGAATCGAACGTTTTGATATGCGATGTGGTTGTATTGAATGATGCACCAGAGTGGACTGCACAAAACTGGGCAGTTCCAGATTAACAATGGTCAGCAGGCTATAAAATTCTCATAAATGGAACGGTAGTCAGAGCAAAGACAAAAGGACGTCTAGAGACACATTGAACATTATTTACATTAACATCATGAACAGGGACAGATATTACCACTTGAATACAGTTTGATATTCCCTTCTTCCAGTTATTCAATTTTTCAATCGCACAACTGCGTAAACGAAAATTTCTGACCGGTGACTACTGAATTGGAAAACGAACAGAGCATTCTAGTGAACCATCGCAGAATGCAACCCAGTATCGATGTATTATTCGTTCCACAATGAAACAATGCGTGTGATTCATTGAAATACCATTTTCCAAAAGGACACTGCTTTTATCCGAAAGTATCAACGGTAAAAATCGCTCGACATAGGTCTAGAAAATCCTAGGGTTTCATAGTATTGTTAAATGTTTTATTTATGGTATCGTACAAAACATACATTACCATATACCGACTGCGCTCTCCAAGCGTACGAAAATGTTACACTAGTTACCTTAATGCATTCCAGGGACGGGTGTATTCGCGATGTCGAAAGTAGGACAACGGTTCCGTATCAATTGTCAATAATTTCTCAACGGTTTTGTTCTGGAATCGCCGCTGAAATTAAAACGTGACGTCGTTCGTTGCTGCCTTGTTCCGTTTCATTTTGTACAAATTCGCCACAGAAATATCTCGGGACGGTAATTAAACTGGCGTTTTCTGTACGACGCTCGCCTGAATATACAGGCGACGTATCGGTACCGGGTATCAATTTACTCCGTTTTTGTGTTTCAGTCGCGTCGAGTGTCGTCGAGCGCGAACGGTCGACCCGATCGGGCACGAAATAATTCATTAACAATCAATGAATATTCAAGACCTATTAATTCGGTAAAACGACGAAGGGATATGAAGCAACAACAAAAAAGAATACACACATACACACACACACATACTCAGCTGATGAGACAGGAACGGGAGTTGAAACGGGCGCCTGCGCGGTACAAAGTTAATCGACCGATGAAATGAAGCCAGGGGCAGAAAACGTTATCCTGCACGCGATGTTTTTATTCGCTGACTGATAACCTCGATGCCGTTTTACGCGGAACTTGTAATTCGATGATGCCACGATTAACCGTTCTGTTTTGTTCCTTTTTTAATGGGGAGATTCTCGGTTTAATGGACTATTACGTATACATTGGGACGTTAGCTACGGCCAATGGAAGTTATAAGGAAGACTTTATAGGGATTCTAATGTCATTTCTCTGGGTGCGTGCGTGTTATGGTTTTTGAATATCGTACTTGCAAGTTTGAATGAACCCGATGACAAAGGCATTGAAGACGACTGACAGGATTTCGTAGGTTTAAGTAAATGTTCTCTGCGTATGGTATCTATTTCCTTGGAATTAGGCAGAATTGATAACATAAGCGTATGAACATCGTAGAGTGAATATGTATTCCAAATCACCCCACGAGTGACCCATTTCAGGGACCAACGACACTTTTGTTGCACACTGTATACTGTCAATCCCGTTATTTTTCGGACACACTGTGTATATACCGTCCGACAATGAACAATCATAATCCCCAAAAGCTGTGTGAACCCTTATTATACGACGATCTCCGTTCGCAAAGCTGTCTCGACCTCCGAAAGTTCGGACAACCAGAGTTCCATCGTATCGTAGATAAGATCGAGTCGTTAAAAGTTAAAGCGATCCAACGGCGGCAGCCAGTCTTCATTCCGGTATTAGCAGACCGTAAACCCCTGTGTTGTTTTATTTTCATCCCCTCCGGTTGTTCCCGCGTAAGGCGGATCTGTACCCGCCGTTTCAGTCTTTTCTTTTTTTCGCTTTACTCGTCCTCGTCCGTTCCGCCCGATAACGCATCGTCTCTGGAAGTTAATCGATGCCCGCCCCTAACGAGGAGACGTAAATCCATCCCGTGAATTCTATAAATTGTAGAGCGAAGCTGGCGCAGCTGTTCGACCGGTTACTTTATGACGTGGCTGCTTTAATATCAATTTATGGACGACAATTCCTTCCGGCGTTGAATTCGAGACGCGCCGGACACAGCGCCGATCGATGCGTCCTCTTAAACGAGATCGAGCTACTTCGACGTCTCAGCGGCAGACATTTAAGCCGACTTGGTGAATTATTCATTGGTGAAGTTTCCCTCTGGACAAGCGTAAATATCGCGTGTCATTAAATAACCGCGTCTGTTCACAAACGAAATCATAATTTCAAAGAGGTGTATCAGCGTGTTCCTGAAATTCCAAACTTTCCGTCGGCCCCGTTTTCATCGCCGCTACAGGAATCGTTGTCCCGTCGAAGTTTCAACTTTTTTCGAATTCACCGCTCCATCTTCCACCCATCCCGTTCGTTGCATATTAATGCCGCGAGAATTATTTATACTTTACCACCGTTCGCAACTTGAGCTTACCGTGCTTTTTCGCGGGGTAATGCATCTTTTTATGGAAGCTACGGGGTTCTGCTGTTCTTGATGGTCAAGTGGCGTGTATCTAAGCAAGGTTATAGATTAGTTTATTGTAATTAATATTTCATCTGAACTAGCGGTTGTTCCTTGACATATTCCAGTTACTTAAAAGGAATTAAAAAATTTTCGAATTGGGAGATTTTTTTAAAAACTACAGATAGTATACGTTAATATAAATATAATTTTACGTTAAAAACTGAGTAACTTTAGTCTACGCATAATTGTAAAAAGTACGCTTCAAGAGGCGAACTTTGTGGGGCTCTTTCATCCCCTCAAGCCGTTTTCTATCAAAAACAAAGAAATACGTGTTCAACAGTATTTAATCTCCAAAAATTCATGCCAGTTTGAACAAAAAACAAATGTTTGCTCTATAAATGACCCCTTGTGAGTTATTCGACGTGAACAGAGGGGTTCGGACCACTCTAAATTGTCAGTGTTGAATGTAATAAGCAATTCCCACAAGATCACAAACATCGAAAACTGAAGTTCTGTTTTTGGGTCAGACTGACCGAAACAGTGGGGCAAGGGTTAATATTTGAAGCACGCAAGACATCAGAAACCAGGACAAGTTTGTTACGGCGCGACGACGGGAAAGAGGGAGGGAACCGGTTGGACGTGGGAAAATAAGAAAACGCCGTGTGTGCGGGCCCGGCGGTCCTCGTCAAAGTGCCGCTTTAATATGGATGTGTGATTTCCCAGGTGGGCTGTTTCATCCGTCGGACGACAAGCAGGAAGTGGCCTTTCGTTATGCTGTGGAAAAGATCAACGCCAACCGGGATATCCTGCCCAAGTCTCGTCTCAGCGCCCAGATTGAGCAGATAAAACCGCAGGACAGTTTTCACGCTTCCAAGCGGGGTGAGTGCTCCTATTCCATGCTCGTTCATTCCACAATTAAACTCGTACACACACACACATACACGTGTTCCGGTTTGAAACCTTCACAGTGTCGTTGTCAGTGTACTCTGTTGTTACCGTGCGAATATTTACATCCAGCCAGAAGCGTTTTCAATTTTCTCGCGCGTAAACAACGGTGTCATGACGGTCGTCTGATCATCGCGGTTTCGTTCTACTTGCTGTAAACGTTTTACTGGAGTTTCACTGACGCGCGCGGGTTATGGTATTCCGCGACTGTTATGACACGGGACAGATAGGGGCGTGATTACTGTCGAATAATAGAGGACGAATGGTGACTGAACTGCGGATTTTTTTTATGCAGAATGGCATTTTACGAGGTAATTCATGAAGACGAGAGGAAATGTTGAAATTTCTTTCTTGTCCTCGGTATCTTACTGGATTCAGAATAAGATCATTACTTCTGATGAAAGTTTTATCTTTTGTTGCACTTTACAGTGGTTTATAGACTATACATTCATCAAATTCGCGGACTGATGGTAACGATGAACATTTGTTTCCTGATTTTTAGTCAAAGTAATATTTACTTTATGAAGCTTTTGATCTATGAACGGATCTTTATTCGAAATAACATTTTATAAAGTAATTTAAAAAGACAGAATTAAAAACAGGAACTTTCTTTCCTCTTAGAAAGTTTATCGTGCTAAGAATAAGACAAAAAAACTTTGAAACCTGGTGGAAATTTTGTCTTATATGGCACTTCACATATACCATTATGCTATAAATGCATAAAATCCGCAGTCTATTGATTACTATAGGTGAAGGGGTTCAACGACTAATAATTTTACAGTTAGAATAATAATACTTCATATTTGCTTCGATACTTGTCTGACCATTACTGGGACGTTTCACTGTCGCCACTGCTCTTCAGGTCAAACTTACATGTGAAAAGGTAGAACACTTTGAGTTATACTACCATGTTTGTTAGATCTTCGACTTTCTTCGTAAGTCTTCGTGTAATAGTCTTTCCGTAAAATCCGTACACAGCGTCAGTGTTTCATACAACTATACAGCGCTTCAATTTCGTCCCTCAGCTTCTTCCACTGGAATGATCGAAATTATATAGGTATACCATGCACGTACCATCACAGCGGTGTTTTCCTCCAGACATCGTAAAGGTAATTCAACTTTCGTTCAACTCTCTCTCTCTTTCTCTCTCTCTCTCTATCTTCCTTCCTTCCGATTTCTCTCGTATTCCTGAGCCTGCGCGCGTTGCTCGAACAATTTTCGAACTTCTTGTCCCGCCCGTATATACGGGAAATAGACTTACGCTTCCGTACTGAAGATTTCCTGTGCCAGTTTGCGCGCGGTGTCTTGCTCTCGTCAATGTTCCGTGTTCGCTACGGAACAAACTTTCTTAACGTTGTTACCCAGACCCGCGTTGTTTTCACTGGCTGATATACACAATGCTCCCTTTACTTTCTTAACTATAAGTTTCAAAACTGGAAATTGTTGTGAATAGAGATTTTATACAAAATTTTATGTAAGGTATCACATTCTTTTCTGTTGAAATTGTACTGATACAAGCAGCAGTATTCGTAGACTTTCCGATTCTATATATACATATATTCTAAAGTAAAGTGGTCAGTTTTAGCAACGTCAATGCATAATTGACAAAACCTATTTCTCCAATACCGTTCGATACGAAATATTTCTTACGGATGGTCCTCCTCGATTCCCCTTAATAATAATCGGATAAGAGGAAAGTTAAAGGTTCGATTAATTAAAAGTAAATCAAGTTAATTTCCTTCGACGGTATTAATTACTGCCGCCTTGGTCGGTTCGATCAGATGCCGCGACGAAACGAAATGTAATTACAGGATCGAATGGCCAAGGCGTAATTATCATCGAAGTGACAGGACGACACTCGTCGGAAATACGTAGCTCGGTGCGATATTAATGCGGACGCCCGTGCCAAACGCGATAATTATTTTCAACAGCGTCGCAATCAGCCAGGGAACTAATTATCGACTCGGGGCATCGATTTATTAAACCGAATTATACGCTTTAAATGTTTCTGTTGTCCCGTTCGATCGTCGCCGACGTGGAAAGCGCATCGCGAACCGTACGTGGGGGTCGCGTCGTCGCTCGATGAACCCACATTTGGCGACGCTCCATGAATATCACCCCCTCTTGGGGCGATTCCGTTGACAAATCTGTGTTTGTAGGCGATCATTTCATCCGACCATAAAAACGGGTCGGCCGCACCTCTAATGTTGCGGCCCGGCTAGCTGACTCGATTTATGGCTGGACTTTCCTCAACTTTATCTCGTTCGCGGACGATATATCGCGATGGCGTCGTTGGGGGTCGAAGATCTAGTAACATCGCCCGAAGAAAGATGAACTTGGTTGGTGGATTCCTACGGAGTGCAGATGTTTTCGTTTCGATTCACCCTTGGGTGACGAACTTGGGTCACTCGGGACAGAGACTTTAACCCTTTCGCTCCTACTGTCGGATATATATTTTATCTACTAAACGATCCCGACATATTATGGGATAAATATTGACACTACTTTTTGTTTCCGTGCTGGGATTCTATATCTTTCAATAACATTTATGAAAATGATAAATTACGTTATATAGCAGAATAAATTTGGCGCTAATTCAACAAGGTCACTTTCCATCAAGAACACGTGGACTATTAGATCCGTATCACCGAAGGCTTCCACGAAACCGCTGCCGAATCACCTCTCACGCTCCATAATTATCCTCGGAAGTCCTGTTGATCCAGTTGTTCCGTAGACGTTCACGGTGACAAAAAGTCGACGGTGATCTCGTTTTCGACCTGGCCTCGCCTCTGGGTAATTCCTTTCGACGGTTAAACGGGAATAAACTCCCTATAGATCGGAGGCAACGCGGGCGGCTGTAGTTCGTCTTCCGTTTGTTCGAGTCACGGTCTCGTTCGAGTTTTTGGGGCAACAAACTCTCTCTCCCTCGCTCTTTCTCTCTGTCTTCCTAGCATTTCGATGGAGGGAAAGCTCGCAGGGCCGTTTCGGTGTTCTTCCCGTTTACTGTGTTTTTACGAGACGACGGCGAAACATGACCGAGTGTGTCGGGGGTGCCTTTGTTCGACCCGGTCGGCACACCACGCGGTGCCACACGTAATACGGTTTTACGGTCTCTCCCCTTCTCTCCCTGGTTGGCTTTCATCTCGAAATTTCTTCGTGATGCTCCGTTCGTTTTCTCCGTCAGGGAAACACCGGGAATCGAGCCGTGAACGGATGACGTGTGATGGAGGATACCGACAGGGATTTGATTATTCGCGACCGTGCTTACACGTGGCGGATTTGTGGTAAATATTGTGACGACGCCCAAGCTGAGACGACGAGCTTGAAATGAATTCGTCGGGGTCGATGAAGTTAATCCTTTGCACTCGGAGCGTCTTAAGTCTTTAGGGTTAGGTGGGTTAATAACTGTCACACCTTTGCTTAGCTTTTTATGCATGGTGGGATATATTTTAATTCACCTCGAAAAGTTGAAGCTACTCATAGTCATAGAGTTTAATATTTTATGTTTATATAATTTTTTTTGCATTAAAAAAAATTCTGTGCAACCAGGGTTTTTATTTTCCTTAAAATCGTGTGCCTCGAAGAGTTAAACTGTGCAAGATTCCAGCCTAACCAGACGATGACAATCGAAACGAAAAACCCCAGTCTGGTTCAGTCTTGACTTTCACGTTTTTGCACGCCGTGCACGCGTCGAAATTGGCCCTGGAAACAGATGGAACGGGAAGGGAGAAAAGGGTCTCACCGCAGCCACCGTTTTCCAGCCATTCAAACAGGGAAAACGGCTCTTCCGCCGACATTGTTCGTGTTTCACTTTCGTTAAGCCAATTTTCTAAAACCACACGGTGGGACGACGGAAAGTTTGGGACACGGGACCGTGGGAACAACGCGAGCTGCGACCGCCGCCGGTGGTGGGGTTGTGGATAGAGAACCCACGGCTCTAATTTTCCCCGTAACTTTTACGGTTTCTTCTCCGACGGCATAGTTTCCGAAACTTCGGCGAACGTATCGGGCCATCGGAAAGTTCTTTGACGCCCACGGCGATTTCGCTTGGCGGGGATCTATTTGCCTTCTCTTTCCCCCTCGCGTGAAACCGTATACCGTCCAATTAAGCATAATGGAAGGAAAACATTGTTCTACGGGACGAGGGTGCTGTAACAGAAGAACCCGCGCGGGGACGATACCGCGAACCTTCTGGGCCACTATCGTGTCTCTATCGTGGAACTTCACTTTCTTGGCGAACCGATAGCTTTTTATGTTCGACCCACGACGTAACTCGTTGACGTTTGTGTTCGTTTCTCCACATTGGGCTTTGCCATATCGTGTATAGTTGGATTTGAATGGGTGTTGTTAATCACGGTACGTGTAGTGTAACATAAAGCAGAACTAGGGGATGGTTCTCGAATTTGGAGCCTAGGTTGGACCACTTCTGTAATTCGTCATGTGTAAACAATATGTGGTACTAATATACTAATTTAGTTAATGCAGTCACCAGTATCATACACATATTGTTTGCCGGACGGCACAAATTGTTTACACATGACAAGTTACAGTAGTGGTCCTACTTAGGCGATGCTCTAAATTCGTGAACCTTCTCCTATATTTAATCTTCGTATAATGAATCCATTTTGACCGATCTGTAGCAATTGCCATATTCTTTTCAGTTATGCATATGTAAATGTAATATACGAACTTGAAGATATACAGACAATTTTATGCATAATTCTCTCTTCAAACCTGCTTACCATGGAAATTCAAAATGACCCTGCATTCTTCTGCTGTATCTGTCCGAGACCATCCGTCCTTCGAGGGTTAACTAAATATAAAACGATACGCTATGTTTGAAATTCCAGATAATTATTCTAGAGACCGTACACGCTATTGTTACGCTAACGCTTAAATCCACACAGCCGTCCTTCCACTGGACAACCACACAG